CACCGGCGCAGTGGTCCAGCGCCAGCGGCTGTCCCACGTGGAGGCCTTGGCTGGGGACAGGCGGTTTGGGTCCAAATGCACTCTGCAGCCCGAGCAAGCACCCAGGCTGAACAATGTGGAAATGGAACAGAGTGGTTACCATGGAAACGCTCACTCTTGCTTGTGACATCCAAGCGGGAGGCATGGGTCCATCAGGTGTGTGGCCCTGCCTCCCACCAGGGCAAAGCTGAGGGTTAATGAAACGCCTCGGTACTGCCTCTCCGTCCACACCTCCAGAACACAGGCCGCACTTTCGGGCTGAAGGGATTCTCTGTGCTCTGGGACTCCGTGGCACGTGGTCACATGCATTTTAGCTGGGAAGTTCCTCGGTTTCCCCAGCCTGTGAGTAGAAGCCACCCACAGCTTTGCCTGTGACAGCGACTTTAGGTAGCCCTGCCGTGTAGGGCTTGAGGGGTCTGTAGCTTCACGTGGGTCTTCATGTGGACTGATAAGGGAGGTGTGAACTTGCCCCATTTTGGGGACCACCTGGATGTCTGCCGAGCCAAGAAGAGACATGGATGTGGTCTGTCCACGTGACGGGGTTTACTGCGCCGTCAGGAGGAAGACCATGCCAGTGCTCGCCGCCACACGGGTGAGCCTGAAAACAGGCTGCAGAGCGCGAGAGCCAACCCAGACAGACTGCGTGCCCCGGCTCTGCGAACTCCAAGCCGGCCAACCCACGGCACAGGAAGGTGGGCCAGAGGCTGCCAGGGGCTGGGAGAGGGGCGTGAGAATCGGGAGCGTTTGCTGATGGAGACAGGTTTCTTTTTGGGGTGACAGTGTCGTGGAGTTAGGTGGTGACAGTGGCTGCCAACACCAGTGGACTTTGTGCAGGGCTGGCGGCTGAGGCTCAAGTGTGGGAGTAGGCGAGTGCTTGCCTCCCATGTCCACAGGCCCCTGCCCCCCACCACGTTCCTCTTTGCTTGTCTCTCAGGTCTACCCTCTTGGGCCACCAAGCCCTGCAGAGGCTCTCCGAGGCCATCTTCCTCTGCCCCACTGACCCTGGGGGCAGTTCCCTGCGGTGTGGGGGTGCTGGGCACCCACGCCTCGGCCACATCATGTGACCTCAGGGCCACATGCTTTCCTCTCTCGAAGGATGTCAGTGATGGTTTGACAGTGACGTCCCTCCATCATTCTGAAGCCCAAAGGAGAGCAGAATATAAACATTTTTGGAACAGGAAGGTGCCGCACCAGCTGTGTTCCTGAAGAAGTGTCGTGGGTCACCTGGCCCCGCGTGCAGTTTCAGTCGCCTGTTCGTGCATGCCCTGCCCAGCACTGCATGTTTTCTGGCCCCCGGGACATTCTGTGACCACAGCAGCCTGTGGTCCGAGGCGCGCTCCTCGGGGTTTGAGACAATGAGCAGGAAGTGAACTGTCAGCTCCGAGCCCGAGTCTCCTCCACATGCTGTGGCTGGTGACGTCCATGCTCTGTGGACTGGGGGTCTACAAACTCTCCAGGGCATACGGGCTCTGGAGTAATAAAACCCAGGGCCAGCAGGTGGCATGGTGGTTACGTTGCTGGACTCCCACATGGCCAACAAGGGGTCGAGTCCCAGACCTGGTGGCTTAGAACTCTGCCGAGCACGTATGCATGCCCAAGATCCCAGGAGGAGAGTGGAGGAGAAGGGATTGCAGCATGGCCATCCCCCCACTTCCCCTCTCACTGTCTCTGTCTCTGTCTCTGTCTCTCTCTCTCTGGCAAGTGCATGCATCTTAAGGAAAAAAACTCTAAAAAGTAATAATAATAAATAAACAAACAAACAAACAAAACACTCAAAATGTGGTCCTTTGGCCAGTGGCCTCAGCACCTGGGAGCTTCAAGCACGCAGACCCTGGCCCAACCAGACCTGCTGCCTCAAAATCCGCCTCTTGGGGAGATCCTGCCGGGACTCCGACCCACGCAGTGCCCAGAAAGCACACATGTTGCTGTCTGGCACCACCGGGCACCTGAGAAACCTCACAGCTGGCAGCCGTGAGCCAGGGAGATCCCACACACCAGCTGCCACCTGTTAGGAACTGTGTCAAGATCCCAGTGATGATGACATGAGCTGCGGATATCGGAACTGAGCCGAGGGAGGGTCTGTGATTGCCCGGGGAGCTCAGAGCTCTGGTAGGAACACACCGGAAGCCCTGATTCCGCACACCCCTGACCAGACCGAGGCTCTCACCTGGGGGTGGTTCTGCCCTGCTGGGGACATCGGGCAACGCCCAGGGGCGCCTTTGCTTTGCTCACATGAGGGGCTCCTGGCATCCAGGGGTCCAGGCCGGGGATACTGCTCAGCACCTCTCAGCGCACAGGATGGCCCACCTCACGCAGTCAGGCCCATGTCAGCGCCCATGCTGAGAAGCCCACGGCACAGAGGTGTGGGCCCTCCACTCTAGAACCCAACATGAAATAATACTTGGGGACTTCGGAAAGTCACGGCAAGTGGGAGTCAACGATAGTTTTATTTTGGTGCAAAGAGACCCAGTTGAAGTCCATGCATAGTTTTTTCATAATACGCATCTTCCAGGAATTTTTGGAAGACCTTTCATATTTTTTTAAAAGAAGAATTATTTTATTTAACGTTATTCATTTATTTATTTTAATTTTACCAGAGAGAGACAGAGTGAGATAGAAAGTGAGAAACCAAGCTGCCAGGTCCAGGACTTGAACTGTGGTCGTCCATGTGAGAGTCCAGCGCCCCAACTGCCATGCCACCCGCCGACCCCTAAACCTTCATATTTTGATAACGTGGAGCAGTGGGGGACAGAGGAGCTTGGTGTGGTGGACGGGGGAAGGTTCCGAAGTGCCGGTGCGTGGGAACCTCTGGAACCACAGCCACCAGCGTTGTTTTCATCCTGTTTTTAGGCTTTTGCATAGGGTGTGGCCATTCTTCAGAGAGAGACAGAGAAAGTGAGAACTCCCCCCCAGGGGAGATGGCCGCACCCCAATCCCTTCATTCTCCTTGGGTACCTATGCACGTGCACCTGGCATGATTTTAAGCCACTGGGTCAGGGACACAAACCAGGGTCAGCCACGTGGGGAGTCCAGCGCCTTAACCATCACGCCGCCGCTGACCCTCAAAAGTCATTTTTAATAAAAACGAGCGTATCGTTTATGACAAGCACAACATATCCGAGAGGAGAGTGTCCAGCGCCTGTTACTGACTGTCCTGCCGGAGGCTAGACGTCCCGTGGGCCTCGGGCCAGGCTAAGGGCCGCTGTCTCTCCTCGTCACACCCCAGCATGGGTCTCAGCTGTCCACAGGGCGGCTGCCCCTTCCGAGCAGGACCTCAGACACTGAGCAGTAAGACTGACAAGTTGCCCGTCCCTGAATAAGAGCCATAATTTGACCCTTGGCTGTATGAAGGTCGGATGCCATGCAGCCAGGTTGTCCCTGGGTTCAAATCCCAACATGACCTTGGGGCTGACCTCCCTGGGCCTCCCTTTTCCATCTGGGAAACAGGCCTGAGCCGGAAGTGCTGTCAGGGGCTGGGCAGGGAGTGCGGCTTCCTTCCTGCTCCGCCCTCTGGCTGGGCTGCTTGGGGCGCTCTGGCCGCACCTCCTGGCTGGCCCCGGGCCGTGGCTTGGAGTGCGCCCTGACGCCGTGTTCTCTCTGCTCTTGGCACAGATGACGTGCGGTTGTTCGCCTTCGTGCGCTTCACCACCGGGGACGCCATGAGCAAGAGGTCCAAGTTCGCCCTCATCACGTGGATCGGGGAGAACGTCAGCGGGCTGCAGCGGGCCAAAACCGGGACGGACAAGACCCTGGTGAAGGAGGTCGTCCAGGTAATCGTCCCCGTGCTCTCAGGGCCTGCGGGTCGCCCCGTCCAGCAGGGACAGCGAAGGCTGGAGTTGACTCCCGGGTCTGGACCGGGACCTCTGGGGAAATGTTACAGCCGTGTTCAGGGTGGGGGGCAGGTGCCCTGTGTGCGGTCATGGCCATCACGCAGGGCCACGTGGCACTGCTGGGTACCTCTGTGGGTGGGACCACCCAAGTGGCAGCCCTGAGTCACACCAGGGTGACTTCCACTGTGGCGGTGAGGATCCAGTGGGAGGATGCTCTCTGCCCCGAGCAGTGCCACCCGCGGCAGTCCGTGGCACTTGCTGACTGTCACCCTGTGGAGGACAGCAGGGTGTCCTGATTTTGGTGCCTGCAGACCGACAATGGCTGCAGAGGTGGGTGCTGCCCACGGCCGGCGTGTGAGCGGCTTCAGCTGGTTCAGGGAAAAGTCGGTTAAGGTGCGAGTTTGTTTTGGTGGGAAAACGACGACCATCTCGCAGTGCACAGTTCCATGAACCTTCTTTGCCCCCTCATACGCAAAGGGGAAGAGGCAGGGGCACCCCTGCTTTATTCTCTGAGCCCCAGGACAGTCCTCCTTGGGGGGGAGGGCTCCATTTTAAGGAATTCTTCATCTGGCTGTTAAAGAAAATTGACGCTCTCTGTGCCAGAAACCCCTGAGCCAAGGAACCGCGGCCTCTCCCAGTGTGCTCAGGTGACAGAGCTACTGCAGTGTGTCCTCAGCAGTCTGCCGTCACAGAGACTAGGCCCAGTGCCCCCTCCCGCCACACGCACACCGCTTTGAAGATACAAGGCAGAATAATTGGCCCATGGACACTCAAGGTTTTCAGTGACAGGCTCTGCCAGGGGCAGTGACAGCCGAAGGCGCAGGTTCCATTTCACGGTAACGAAAAGCCCTCTGTCGGGACGGATCTCCCGACCTGCGGGCACACTAAGACCCGCTGGACTGTGAGACACACAGACAAGCCCAAATACAGGCTGTCCGCGGTATGGCGTCCAGACTGGCCCTTGGGACAGAGGCCAGTGGAGTCTGACTGGAGCCCGCGGCTGAGCTGATGGCAACGTGCCTTGTCAGCCCCCTCGTGACAGGTATGTGTGAGGTGTGAGGCGTCCACAGCTGGGAAAGTAGTGTGTGTCTGTGGGGGTGCTGGGGGGATATATAGACACTCTGGTACTGTCTCTTGTGACTTTTCCATAAATCTAAAACTTCCAAACTAGGACTTTTGTTTAACAGTGGAGCAGCAGCATAGCCTGGTCACTAAGGGAGCCCGATCCCCGGGACTGAGCACGGTTCCAGTTTCTGCCCTGGTGCGGAGAAGAGCGTGCAGGGCACCTGTGCGCCTCCAGTCCAGACAGGACGGGAATGGGGCCGAGGGGTCACGGACTGACCCCGTCCCACCGGGGTGGGGGCTTCCTCTCCCCCCCACCAGCGTGTGTGCCCTCCGGCAATGACAAAAACAGTAATAGGACACAAGGGTCTTACCGCCACCGCACCGCCACCGCCTGTTTTCGTGCGGTCACTACCGGCTTCTCTGACGAGCACTCTGGTGCCTTTCTGCGCCCTACAGGTGCCTCGCACCGGCGGCTTCCCTTTCTTTCCCCTTTTTTAGGTTAATATAATCCCATAAGTTATGTGGCTGCATCATGCTCATAGTTAAAGCCTTTCTGGTCGCAGGGTGTGCCGTTTCCCAAGTGTGCTCTAATGTACTGCATGTTCCCCTGTTCTTGGCCTCTCGAGTTGCTTCCAATTTTATTTTTATAAACCATGTTCCAACCAGTGTTTCGCTACACGCAGCTTCTTTCTCTTTTAGTTCTCTAGAGTGTGTCCTCAGGAGGCGGGTTCCAGAGTTACAGATGGAGTGACATTTTTGAAGGGTCCAAGCTGTCAGAGTGCCTGGACCAAGCAAATGCTCACTACATGTCGCCCACCTCATCGTGACCAGCACTACAGTGTAGCCCACTGCCACTGTCTGGCTCGGGGGCCCTGACTTTGGAAGCCACGTACCCAGCCCTGCAGGCCGCTTTCTCCAGGCCCGTTGGCCTTTAATGGCTAACTAGCTTTGAGGGGTCACCTTTGGCAGCAGAACGGAAAGTGTGAAAGGGCGTAGGTTCCACCAGGGTCTCCGGTGTCCTCCCAGGGCCAGGCAGAGGAAGACCTGGGGACGCGGGTCTGGATGCACGCATTCGGCTCTGCCTTTCAAACCTTCTTTTCCTCCCAGGGCCAGGCAGAGGAGACCTGGGGATGCAGGTCTTGATGCACGCATTCGGCTCTGCCTTTCAAACCTTGCCATTGCTGTTCTCTTTCCATTAAAAGAAAGGAAAAAGTACTCGTCACTCCTATCCAGTTCCAGAACTTTTCCGTCAGCACCGGAGGAAACCTTGTACCCGTGCAGCCATCTCCAGAGCTTCTTTCAAGTCTAGAACTCTGTTTGGTTCAGTTACGTGGACAGACCCGGGGTGACTGGGGAGACAGGCCCTCATGCGAGCCGTCGGGTGGGAGCAGTGGGGTTGGGTGGTGCATTTGTTCGCAAGCTCACTAAGTTGAAGCAGAGCGGGGCATTGCTTGGCTCTCAGAACTGGGAAGGGAGGTGACGTGGACTCCAGTGTGGCTAAAGGTCGAACAGGATTTTCATCTCATCTCTCGGTTCTCTTTTCCTCGGGGTTTGGCTCAGTTGGCTTCTGCGTGGCAGAGCATCCAGCTAGGTGGTCCTTCTGGATCAGGGTCCCTGAAGGACAAAAGCCTCCTCCAGCGGGCTCTGATTGGCCCAGCTTGGGTCACGAGCACACCCCTGGGGCAGGGAGGCAGGGCTTCATGATCCACAGCTCCAGTGTGCCTGTCATTCAAAGAAAAGGGCTGGCTGAGGAAGAAGCCATGGAGAACCAGCTGCTCTCCAGAACTGCCTGTGCAGCGTCTTTTATATTTATTTATTTTATTTGTGATAGAGCATGCACATGCCCGCAAGTGAGCAAGAGAGAGGAGAGAAGGGAGAGGGGAGAGGGGAGAGGGGAGAGGTGCCCGCACCAGGGTCTCATGCTATGATCGTGACACCAGACGAGCCCAGGAACGTGCCCCACGGGCAGCGTGCTCTGCTGCGTCACCACAGCGGCCGTCTGCTGCCCTGGAGTGCCCACCGGTGCCCGGGTGAAGCCCATCCCAATGTTTTCGTGGGCCTGCAGGATTGTGGGACCATGCCGTGGCCATGGGGAGGGAGCTGCCGGGCCGTCCTGACTGGTGCCAGACTCGACCAGCTGTGCGTCGTGCTCAGCTTGCAGCATGGCTTCATTCTCACGATCCTTTATTTATTTTTTAAACGTAATGTGAATGTCCACAGAGCCACGTACGCAGGGGGCACATCTCGGGTTTTGGCAGAGGAGTTTCCTCCAAGGAGACGTGGAGACGGAAGGATGGGCATCAGCGGTAGCAGAGACCCCACAGCTCAGTGTCTGCAGATGACTCTGCGTCCCAGGCTGGCCGCGCCACCCCCGCTCCGAGGGCCTCTGCCTGGGCCACCGTGGGAATAAGATGCGCAGCGAGTCTCAGTGCGCCCTGCGATGTGCCTCACGCTCCTAAGAGCCTCCTGTTATTAAGTTATTTACTCCCCACAAGGCCAGGCCTTCATTCTCCCCCACTTCTCAGAGGTGGAGCCGGAGGCGGGGGACGATGAGTGACTTGCTCCGGGGCCCAGCGCTCGGCCAGCGCAGCTGTGCCTGGAACCCAGGTGTCTGGCCTCAGAGCTCACCGGTTACGTGGCCACGCCACCCCTGCCCCCGTCCTGCAGCCCCAAGGACGTTCTTCTCAGGCCACCTGCGTTTGGAAAACGACTTTCACAGACTCTCCTTGTGCCTGGCACTTTCTTTCTTTTTAAGGTTTTTGCCATAGGGCGTGTGCACTCACCGGAGAGAGACAGAGACAGTGAGCTGGAAAGTGATAAATCACCCCACAGTCCTCTCTCCTCCTGGGACTTTTGGGCATGCACACACAGCGTAATTTTCAAACCACCAGGTCTGGGACTCGAACTCATTCAGCCACGTGCGAGTCTAGCACCTCAACTGCCATGCCATGTGTATTTTGAAACTTTCTAATTTTTCATCTTTCTTAATGGTGGAAACTAAAAAAAACCAGAAACTGAACATTATTGTTTGACTCTCGCTGTAAGAAAAGAAAGCGCGGCTGTGTCGAATGTGAAAAAAAACAACTGAGCTTCCGGGGAGTGAGACCCAAGCTGATATTCCGGCTCCGTCAACTCAGAGCCTTAGGACCTTAGGCCAGTCATTTTCTCTCTAGAATCCTCACTTACCAGAAAGGGAGGTTCAGAGTGCGGGAGGATCGACAAAGCAGCAGACAGGGATGGGTCTCTGCCTTTCCGCGGCCGGGAAGCCCCTCTGGAGCCTGCAGAACTCTAATGCTTTCTCCAGTCAGCGAATTGCTCGTGTATCTGCTTCCACTGCAGCTTAGGTTCCGGAACTTGCAGTTCAGTGTCCAGCTACTGGGTGCTTGGGAGTCAGGACGTATTTTTGTACAGAAGACCAGGAAAATATGTCACGACTCTCCCTGAGGCCAAGGCTGCTTTATTGCACAGTCCTGCTGGTGCCCAGAGAGTGCCGGTGCTGGCTACAGAGTAACTGCTAAGAAAAGAAGCCGTGAGTCTTCACGCGGGCTGTGGGGTGTTCCCGGGTCAGGCGCTGGTGAGTGCTTACTAACGGCCCTTGGTTCCGATTAATCGTGGAAGCCAGGGCACTCGGGGCAGTCTGGATGTCCAAAGAGTCGGCTTCTGTTTCAGTAGAAAGCAGGGGTGAGCGCTGGTGGGGGTGGCTGGGAGGATCCACCCCCGTCATGAGACTTCCTGGACTGCTGCTCCCCCTTGGAAAGCAGGAGCCGCCCCCGGCCCTCAGGGAC